TGTTAGTTTTTTCTCCCTTAGAATAGTTTAAGTTCCTTGAAGGCCGGGATTATGTCACATAGTTCTTTGGTATTTCCCATACACCAGCTGACAAACTGTGGGTGCTCAGTACATACTTAACGATTGACTGATAAACCGGTTTATATTTTTGAGCTACACAATCTCTCCAAGTCAGCTCCTGGAATGAGAGGGCTGGGCAGAATCAGAGACTAGGGCTGTGCCAGGCCAGTGTCAGATGCTCTCACTTGGACATCGTTTAGAACATAATCTGGGAACCTAATCTGTATAAACACCTAGCACAATCCCTGGCTCTGAGGAGGTTCTCAATAAATAGTCTCTATAGCTGTTATTATGATTCTTGTTTAACGAGAGGTTTAGTATTGAGGGTTCAATAGCACCTAAAGCCATTCTAGGTGGAATCAGAAATCCACAGTCTAGGGCCAGGCGCAGTGGCTCAGACCTGTTATATTAGCACTCTGGGAGGCCAAGGCAGGTGGATCCTTTGAGCTCAGGAGTTCCAGATCAGCCTGAGCAAGAGCGAGACCCCGTCTTTACTAAAAAAATAGAAAGAAATTAGCTAGACAACTAACAATATACAGAAAAAATTAGCCGGGCATGGTGGCATATGCCTGTAGTCCCAGCTACTCTCAAGGCTGAGGCAGGAGGATTGCTTGAGCCCTGGAGTTTGAGGTTGCTGTGAGCTAGGCTGACAACACTAGCCCGGGCAACAGAGTGAGTCTCTGTCTCAAAAAAGGAAAGAAAGAAATCCACAGTCTAGAGATGAAGCCAAATCTGGAACCAGCAAGAGAAGCCAGGCATCAGAGGTAGAAAAAGAGGCTCAGTTTTGAGCAGTTCAGTTGCATTGTGATAAACACTTTCCTTGCCACCCTAGGCCATTTTTATCAGGCTTTCTGTATGTTTGGCTTTCCTGCACAGGCATCTTTAAAGTGCTGCTCAGTTTCTGAGAGGAGCCATGAATCCCAGCACAGTGCTGTGAACATAGGAGAAGCTCAATAAAAGCAATTCTATGTCTCTCTCACCTGTTGCAACAGATAATGTGTCAGCAATATTGAGGATTCACTTGAGAAAATGATGCTAAAGATCAACTATTCGACTAGAACAAGATTACTACCCAAGCTTTTCCCACTCAGGGTGAGGGACTCTGGCAAACCAAGCTGCCAGTCAGATAAGGATTACAGTCATTGATGAACTTATAGATTATGAAGACATGTTGGCACATAGATGACATGGGCTCTACAAAGTGAAGAATGGGTCTCATTCTTCCTACCTCTCAACTCCCATCAGCCGTGTGGCTAAAGGAGGAAGGTGGCAGAGGGCAGTTATGGAGATGCCATCATAACACAGCAGATTGATTGTGTTTCTCCTCCATGCCAGACATTTAGCATACATTATCTCTAACTCCCTGCATAACTCAAGGAAGTAGGTTTTAGCTTGATTTTACAGATGAGAAAATGGGCTCAGAAAGGATAAATTGCTTGCCAAAGTTTACACAAGCTATTAAGTAGCAGAGCTAAGATTTGAACCTAGGTCTGCTTGGCTTACGTGCTTCCTACGCTACATACCATGTGCCTCTTTTATGTTGGTGATGGCAGCCCATGCCTCAGAGAAACAGATGTTGCTTAAGATTACTAGATGGTTATGTGTGGGTAGGGCATTCCATGGTTCTTTCTTTTGCTCATCAATTCATCCTACACACACACACACACACACACACACACACACACACACACACACACACAGAAAGTAGGAAGAGGTGTATAAGTCCGGTAGGTAGGGTGAAAAGGACATGTATGTGGGGAGATGGGCAAGGGGACATGGGAGGGTTGAGGATAGAGAAAATAGAGAAAAAAAGAGCTATCATGAGCTCGAATGCAGGATGGGGACTGATTTTTTTGTGTGTCTGTCTCTGGATGTAGTACTGAATGAGTCTCTGGGTGGTTGCAAAGGGAGCCTCTGGAATGACACTAACAAAGAAGTTCTAACCTAGTAGTGGCACCCAGGATCTGAGGCCATCCAAACAGTACTTTACACCTATACACACACACACACACACACACACACACACACACACACACACACACACACGGGAAGCATAAATATGGAGACAGGTATTTTTATTTTTTATTTATTTTTATTTTTTATTTTTTGAGACAGAGTCTCGCTTTGTTGCCCAGGCTAGAGTAGTGAGTGCCGTGGCGTCAGCCTAGCTCACAGCAACCTCAAACTCCTGGGCTCAAGCAATTCTGTTGTCTCAGCCTTCCGAATAGCTGGGACTACAGGCATGGGCCACCATGCCCAGCTAATTTTTTCTCTATATATTAGTTGGCCAATTAATTTCTTTCTATTTATAGTAGAGACGGGGTTTCACTCTTGCTCAGGCTGGTTTTGAACTCCTGACCTCGAGCAATCCACCCGCCTTTGCCTCCCAGAGTGCTAGGATTACAGGCGTGAGCCACCGCGCCCGGCCAAGACAGATATTTTTAAACAAGCATGCTAGAATATATGGTATAGCACAATGAGCCATATTATAAAATGAAATGCTATACCTTGATTCTCGTGGTGTTTCCAGTGCTTATCACGTGAGTGTAACTCCCCTTCGAAAGAGATAATGCTTATTTGGAAGCATAAAGTGGAAGGCTTGTCAAAAAGTAAAGAGGAGAAAAAGAGAAAAAATCATCTCACTTTATGGTCACAATTTAGTGTGTGTGTATTAAGACTTTAAGTATTGTATAAAATGATGTAATTACATAAAAGAAACTGCTATGGAATGTTTGTCCATATAAATTTTTAAAATTTTTCTTTTAGTGGTGAGCATGATTGTAATAAAACAAGTCTGATTTACATAGCCACTTAATCCCAGAGGGAATGTGACCCAGAGCAGGGAGGGGCAGAGTTCAGGAATGCGTTGCTGTGACACATTGATTCCAGGACTCTCCAGGCTTCACCTGCACCTGAGCTATGGACAAAGTATGTTTGGGTGCTGTGGAGGCTTATTTTTGACTGCTCCACAGTCAGAATGATGGCAGCTGGGGTGATCATACTATTCCTAATGGCATCTGATATACACAGACTTGGAAATCCAGAGAGATCATAGGGCTTAGAGAAGTTCCTCTCCCTTCCATACCAAGTGTATGCAATACCAGCACCCCGCAGAATTCAAAGGGGAGACCTGGAGGCAATGATGTTGATCATACGCTTCATAAGGAATAAACTGATGATTATAATCAGCCTAAATGCTAAGGAAAAATAGAAGCTTTATAAAGATATACTTGCCTCTACAAATTAATTATAACACATCTCTCTCATAAGAGAATTACCTAGTGATTTTTTAATCCTTCTAAATGTTTGATTGAAGGGTGCCATGAAAGTAGCAAATGTAATTATCATTATGTAGTTTTTGTTTCATATCGTGTGGGACCCAAATACTATTAAGGAGAAATAGTTCTTTTTTTTTTTTGAGACAGAGTCTCACTTTGTTGCCCAGGCTAGAGTGAGTGCCGTGGGGTCAGCCTGGCTCACAGCAACCTCAATCTCCTGGGCTCAGCGATCCTACTGCTTCAGCCTCCCGAGTAGCTGGGACTACAGGATGCGCCACCATGCCCGGCTAATTTTTTGTATATATATTTTTAGTTGGTCAATTAATTTCTTTCTATTTTTGATAGAGACGGGGTCTCGCTCAGGCTGGTTTCAAACTCCTGACCTTGAGCAATCTGCCCGCCTCGGCCTCCCAAAGTGCTAGGATTACAGGCGTGAGCCACCGCGCCCGGCCGGAGAAATAGTTCTTAACCATGGATATGGTCCTTCAACTAACAAACTGCCTCAGGAAGAGGTTTGACAGTCTCTTATGTACTAATTCCAAATACCCTCACCCTACAGAAACTTTTCTCAAGCTTAGGAAAACGTAGGCTGGTAATATAGGCACTCTCTTCCAACAGCGTGGCAGGTAAGGAGAGGCCACCTTCAGTATTATGTTTTCTGTTACATTGGAAGGCAAGAGCCATACTAGTGGAAACAGACCCAGTGCCTTTTAAAGTCACCCTAAAATGTAATCCTGTGGTTCTCAACTGTTTCATCATTCCAACTCAAAACTTCTAAAGGATGCGACTCACTCAAGTTGGATCTGTAGCAGTGGCTTAGGGTGACAGTAGATGCAGAGGGTGGTGGCAGAAGGGAAGAATCAATCTGGTTGGTGAGTGAGAATTCTGCTTTGGATTTCCTCTCCTCTTAATTATCATAAGGTCTTCAAATCTAATAGAAATTTACAACCTTTTTGGTAATCTTTACTTCATTACCTATGTGGAAGAATTTATGTCCTCTCAGTGGACTTTCTCTAACTCCTTTAATGCCAATTACTTGTTTACGGTGCTGCAAAATGATTCTAAGTTCTGAGTGACAGTTATCCCTTTTAACATCCTTTTTATGTTTGTTTGCTTGTTTGTTTTGATCTGAAAGTCTTAGAGATCCAGGCCAGGGTTCCTGGGATAGGGGTGGAGGCCTGGCTACTGAATGGGACTTGGGAGGCAGAAGACTTGTGTTTATGCTGATAAAGAGTAAAATCTCGAGTCTTGGCTGATTTTAATGAAAGCAGAGCTGGCGAGGCCCAGGGCAGACCTAGTTTGGGATGAGCACCCGGATCTGTAAGCTAGTGTTGCTTCAGCATCTCACCATGTATGTGTGTAAGGGGAGGCTGGTTCCCGCCCTTCCCTGTCCCGTCGGTACTATCCTTCACCTCCGTCTCTGCGTAACTATATTAACAGAAGGCAACACTTCACATACTGGCGCCCAGACCCCAAAGAGAGGCTGGCAGTGGCTTGGCAGGTGGGCATGTAGCAGGGAGATGGGTGGGAGAGTGGGCGGAGTCATCGTTGAGTGGCGTTCTTATTAGCCAATGGCAGTTCGGGGCAGGGGCGGCAGGGGCGGAGACGCCGAGGCCTATCAGCCAATGGAGGGCAAGCAACTACTGGAGCGACCTAGTGACGTGAGGAGCGTTCCATTCGGCCAGCGGTGGGCGGTTGCCACAGCTGGTTTAGGGCCCCGGCTATTGGGGCCCCTTGTCAGGAGGAGACAGCCTCCCGGCTAGGGAGGAGAAGTCGCTGCCACCTTTGGTGGCCGACGGCGGTACCCTGGGACGGTCCACTTCCTGCCCTTAGTTGCTGGCCGAGTTCGGTGTCCCTCGTTCAGGTAACAAGGGGTGGGGGTGGGGGTCTTCTGGGATCGGCTGTATGGTGGGCTGCCTCCCCTTCAGCCGCGCCGGGACGCGGGGACATTGGCACCGCCCTTGTCAACTCGGCAGCAGCCGAGCCCCTGGCCCGGGGTGACTACACGTGGCGGGGCGTGTGTGAGTGTGTACGAGCGTGTGGATGCGTGTGCGTGTGGATGTGGCGCGCGTCCCAACCTGCCTGGGGCGGTGGTCCATTGCGTGGCGGAGGCAGGGCGGGCCTCCTGAGGCCGCACCCGCGGCCCGGCCCCGGACTCAGGCCTCGGGCCCCGGGCTGGTGGGCCGGTTGCTGCTTCTCGACGGATTTTGATCTTTGTTCTCACGGGCCGGGTTCCCCTTCCTGGTCTCTCCTCTCCCGCTGGGCCGGTTTATCAGGAGGAGATTGTTTTCCAGGTTAGTTTTACACAAAGGAAGTGTTCTCTGCACCTCTGGGTCCCCCTCTTCCCTTCCCAAAGCCTTATTCCTTCTCCTTTCCCTGCTCGGCTCCTAGTCTCTTTTTGGACACTTGCCCTCTCCAGCTCGGGAATAATCTCCAGTCGGTTGTTTCTCCCTCTGTCAGTCAGGCTGCTGGCTTCCGCCTCGGTCTTGCCAGCGTGGGGCATGTGGTGTCAGTAAATAGAGGCCATAGCACCACACCTGAGAGGAGGGGAAGGGTGGCAGTGGCTGAGAAAGGCTAGGCCTGGGAATTCAGGATGCTAAGTAGAGATGGTACTTATGAAACGTCCCAGAAAGCGCCCTTATGACTTTTCTTAGCTGCTGCTATTCCCCCATCCCCCCCACCAACCACCCATTCATCAGTCACTAATCCTTCCAGAATCTCTCCTGCTTAGGTCAGCCTTTCACCTACAGGTCTATGATGTGGTTTCATTAAGATTCCCACAAATGTTAGGCTAGACCAGCGAGATTGTTTCATTTCCCGGACTCAGGAAGTTACAGAGGGTTTGATTAGGGGAAATCTGTTTTGTGTAAATACAATGCACGTATGTGTACAGAGTGTCCAGAACCTCCTAGCCCTGCCAGAGGGTGACTTGTTCTCTGCTATGATTCATGTTTGAGTGGCTAATTGAAGAATGAAGGTGAAGAAGTGGAGGCGAGGAGGGAGGCTCCATAAAGACAGAAACCCTACTATTATTTTTAGAGTCCTCTTAATGATGATTAAAGAACATTGTGGCATAGTGGAACCTGCCCTGGACTGGAAGTCAGCAGATGTGTTTTTTGCTGCTGTGTGGCCTTGGATAAGTTATTTCCTGTCTCTGGTCCTCAGTTTACTCATGTACAAAAGAAAGTAGTTGGGACAGTCACCTATAAAGTCCTGTCTGGTTCCAAGGTTCTAGAATTATCAGATCATCAATATTAGATTGGAAGCACAGAGGTTTATTTAAGAAGAAATACTAGCCCTCTTCTTCTTCTTCTTCTTTTTTTTTTTTTAAGAAACTTAAATCATTTCTCCTTTTAGAAGACAAACACAGATTGGAAATAAACTTTTTCCACTTCTCCATCCCACCCCCCTCAGGCAGTGTTCATCTTTCTGCCTCTGACAAAGGTGGGTTGAACTGCATTTTCTTATTCCTGCCTCATTTTTTTCTTTTGTGCTTTCTTTTAGGACCAGAAATTGGACTTTTGATGATGTTTGACCCAGTGGCTGCAATAGCAGGCAACGTGATTTCAAAGCTGGGCTCAGCCTCTGTTTCTTCTTTCGTGTAATCACAAAGCCCATTTTGGACCAGGAATTCTAACCATGTCTGTGATGGTGGTGAGAAAGAAGGTGACACGGAAATGGGAGAAACTGCCAGGGAGGAACACCTTTTGCTGTGATGGCCGCGTCATGATGGCCCGACAAAAGGGCATCTTCTACTTAACCCTTTTCCTCATCCTGGGGACATGTACACTTTTTTTCGCCTTTGAGTAAGTTTCCATTGAGTAGAGTTGCCTGATATGGTTACTTTGGGTCCCGGGGAAGAAATTTCTTTCTGGGGAGTTTGTGGCCATTCCTTCGGTGACTTTTACTGTCTTCTTGAGCAATGTCTATAGATCATGTCAACTGAATTCATTGCTTTGTGATTGTAGCAGAGTATGTGCTTCCTAAAAAGACAGAGACCTTTGATACTAATTGTATAGCACTGATTTGGTGCTACCCCTGACAAACTTGGGAAATAAGGGTGTTTGTCTTAATGACTCACCTCCCCCTATTAGTGGTCTCCTTAAGAGCTTAGTGACAAACTGTCTTCTCCCCACTCCTCCCAAGCCTTTTCTGTTATTCTGGGTCCTGTTTCCTTAGGGCACAGCTTTCAGCTAGCTGAAAAGCCAGCTGTATTGGGAACCTGCTGATTGGTTTCAGCCTCAGCTGTACCACAAACTAGCTGTGTATGTGGCACATATGTGCATACTAAAAGTCACTTGGTCTTTCTTTCCATCAAAATCGCTCAACATAAACAGCTCTCTATTCTGTGTATGCCTGATACCAGCCTTGGAGTTATTTTTTTCTGTGATGTAATACCTAGTACTAGAGCCACTGTTTGAAGTCTGTGTAGGTCACTGCTCTAGGGAGGTGGCCAGTTGGATTCTAGGGCACTGTGGCGTGACAACTGGGTGTGCTGAGAATGGTCTACACTCTAGGGATGGGAGCAGTGCTAATTGTTTTGGGATTACTGTGAGGAGGGCCTTGAGGAGCCAAGAGGTGTGTGTGTCAATTGTAAGCCACACCTGATGTGAACCTGCTATCGTGTATGTACCTGGGTGACCTGGAAATCCCTCCCATGCAGGGGCGTGGCCATGAGAGGTAGGAGGGGGCTCCTTGGCCAGCCTTTCTAGGTAATTAAAATGAGCTCTGATCCCTTGGGGCTCATTTTTGTCCTTCTGTAAGGGCTTCAGGCTTTCCCAGTGCATCCAGAGTGATTTTCAGGCTGCTTTGCCAGACTTTTTGATGGTTGTAGCTGGCTTAAGTAACAGCAGGGGGAGGGGGGGACCCAGTTTATAACAGGGCTGGGAAAGTAAGGTCAGAGGAGCTCTTTGTTAAAGGCCCCCTTGCTGCTGCTGCTGCAGCTGGTGCTGACTTTGTGAAGTATTTGGCGAAGTCAGGCAGGTTACAGAAGGCTTCTTAGTTGCCTTCCAGTTTGAGTTTCATGTCTGAGTGTGCATGTGTGTGTGTGTGTGTGCATGTGCTTGTGTGTGGTATGAATGAGCATGTGCAGTCAGGTAGGCATAGGTAGAACATTAGACTGTTTTTTCCTTCTCCTCACCCTTCTCTCCAAGTTTGCTTTGCTTTGTTCCTGCCTTGTTTCTTTCTGGAAGTGTAGAGCTGAACTCTGCTCTCTATCATTTTTCCTTTTTTCTCCCTTTTTGTCTGCCCTCCACCTCTGTGGTTAAATTTTTATGATTGGAACCATTCAAAACACAGATGAGCCTTGTTTCTAGGCTCTGAGTGAGTTGGTAGTTCTGGGCCCAGGAAACCTCTGGTTTGACTGGCCAGGGTCACCTGAAATTTGGAGCTACTGCTGTTTGGCCCTTTTTGTATCTAGGAGCTAGTGAGAGAATCTTATTTGGATCTGTTATATTTAGGCCCCTGAAGGCCCCTGAAGAAAACTGCTGGTGGGATGAAGCTTATAATTAGCCAAGTTACTGTTTGACAGAGACAGTCTGAGTTTCCTACCAAGATGACTTTTCTCCCAAAGTTATTTCTTAGCTTTGCCCTCAGATATGAAGGGTAAGGTTGTTTGTCAAACTGTCCTCAGTTCTACCTGTCTGTGTGAAAGAGTAAATATTTTTGAAGATAAGACTGGGGAAGGGAGTAGTGGAATGAGAAGGGGAGAAGGAAGTAAATGTGTTAGCTGAGGAGTGGGGTGGGGAAGTGTAAATCTGACCAAGGAGGAGAGGACCCTGATGATGTATCCTTTTTATTGAGAATGGTGGAATCTGTGTGTGTGTGTCTGTTTGTGTGTCTGTGTCTGTATCTGTGTCTGTGTCTATGTCTGTCTGTCACATACAAACACTCCAGGTAGTGGTTGTGTTGTGCCTAGCCAATGACAGGCTGTGCAAGGTATATTAGCATGCTTCTGAGGAATGACGTCTCTTTCTGGTTGATCTTTTTCTTTGGAGTCTATAACTTACTACCAGCCACATAGTGGGGTTTAGGGCTTGGGGGTCAGAATATGGGCTTCCTTGTTAGTATTATAACTTAGTGAGACCTCAGTAAATCAGCTGATCTAGCCTTCTGCCTTCAGGCAGGCGAGGGTGTCTGAATAGATAAACAGGTATCTATTTTCATTCTTAAATTGTCCGGGAGCAGAGACTCTACATCCTCTGGCTGTTACATTTTTGCATGGTGGGAAGCTAGTCCAAATCTTGAGGCACATCTGGATCCACATTTCAGTAACAGGGTCCTTCTTGCAGCAGGTGCTTAGGAACAAGTGTGAGTTGATTTATAGCTGCCCATGGCACAGCTCTGGGCCAGCCAGATGGCTTAAGACATCTGGTCAGGCTTGTGGGTACCCCTTAAGGAAAAACATGCAGTATTAGTAGTGCTGGTGGATATCCTTTTATTTTTGGATTTTGCCTTTACAGATCTTCTGGAAGACTTTTTAAAGGAGAGACCTGTAATTTTCAGTGGATGAACAGTAGGCTGAATATATAAAACAAAGAAGGTTGTCCACTTAGGAGCCAGTTAGCTCGGTATTGTTCCAAGTGTTTCAGAAGAAGCTGGATGGCTATCTCTGAGGGCTGTTGTCAGAGGGTGGAATGGAGCCAGATATTCACTAAGCCTCTTGCAACTGTAGGAGTCTGAAATTCTGTCTAATTCCGTGTCTGATCGGAAGATTCAAATGCAAACAAAAGGAGAGTGTAGATTACCAGTAGGTGGCTATATTTAAGTATAATTGTATTCATTGTAAATATATTTGAATTTAAAAGCAGAGTGAAAAATCATACAATGCTTAAAGAAAAAGGATTTCCTAATTAATTCTTAGCGTGAGGTATTTAGGAAATGTGAGTGTGTCTATTAGTTTCAGCTTTCAACACATGAACCATTTTCAGTCCTTTTTGCTGAAGCCATGTCCAGCTTGTGTGATGAACACATAGCTACTAATTTGGCTTGGAATGTCAGGACACTATAGCAGAATGACACTGACAACCTGTGAACTGTCCAGCTACTGAAAGGCTATTGTGATATTCAGTCAAATTCAACTTTCTGTTTTTTGTTTTTGTTTTTTTTTTTTTACATGACTTGTAACTGGGGATCAACTTTCTGATAAATTGTGGTCCTAGGGAAAGGACCAAGTGTACTGTCTTGTGGAATTGGCTTCCTGGCTTTCTCTTTTAACTTTCTGACCAGACCACTGGTGGGGTCAAGGTCCTTAGATTTCTCTTGTGGCAAGAATGACTTTGTGACTCTTGACCCTGAAATAGAAGTAGCTTGCTGCTGTGATCAGTGCTTATACTCTGTCTGTGCCGTCTATGGAGGAAATTGTATCAAAGCACTGTCAGACCAATTTCTGTTGGACTCGTCCCCATGGGAGCATTTCATGTACATATTGGCAGAAGTGTCATTGAATTGGATGAACTGAAGAAAACTTTGCAATACTGCTTAGTAATCAGTCATCCCAATTCTCCTAGCCTATCCAAATTCTCTTTCTTTCAATTCTTCCTCTTTCAAGTTCTTTTTTGAGTGTTCCTCATGAAAACTTTTCTAGTCATTTCTGCATTCACTGGGCCATTTGTACATACCACTAATTTAACAAATAACCATATGACATTTCTCATATTTTGGAATTTTATGGTGATAACACTTTTCACTTGTTGTCCCCCACAGCTAGATGTGATCTCCTTCAAGGTCAAGGACTATTTCATATGGCTGTGTAGCCCTTGCAGTGCTCTCTACCAGGCCTCACATAGAGTAGGTGGCAAATAAATATTGCTGAATTAAAACATTCTGGATGCACTTAAAATTTAACAATCTTGACTTACAGAATCATAGATGGTGGAGCTGGAAGAGGCTTTGGAGACTATCTCCATCCTTTTGTGGGAGAGGAAACCAGGCCCACAGAAGTAAGGTTACTTCATCAATATTGGTTGGCCAGCCAGAGTCTCTATATGATATTACCTTTTATCTCATTGTTATCCTTTGCCTATGGAATCCTGAACACATTCAAATGTACATGCTTTAGTAGAGCTGTGCATAGTGCCAAATGTTAGACCAGCATATTCCAGGTTCTTGTGAGCTAGTGTGTGTGTTACCTAGTGTCATCTAGGTTATTTGGGTCTCCCAAGCTCATGTTCCTAGTAAATGAAGGTGTCTTTGTGGAGAACTGACAGCATTCCAACATGGCATTCTGGTAGCCTTGCAGGAACAAGGAAGCCCCTCTCTGAATGTGAACTTAGAATATAAGGAGCTTTATGAGTTAACAAGGAATCATCACTGCTTTGGTACCTCCTAGTCTCTGCTGCTAGGGTGAAGATGGCTCAGAGAAAAATTGAGAAATGTGTGTTCCCTACCTTGTTACTCTGTGGGTTATTCTGATGAAAGGGGCATCATGGCTTTGCAGACAGTGGAGTACAAAAAGTAGATCTGACAATATGAAGTCACCAGGTTTGAAGAGACATAGGATGACTATGCAGACCAAAGCCAAACTTTGACATGGCAGAATGTTAGCCCCTATAGTGACAAGGTCCAGTTTCCTGTAGAGTATCCTTAGTTGAGATTGGAAAGAGGAAAAAGTATCTTATTGTGATCTCTAACCAAGAGAGCATTCTCTGGAGAATTACCCTATGGAGGTCAATCTTGTGCTTCACCTAGCCTAGGATTCTATCTGGGACTTGGCCAACCAAATGACAGCTTTAGAAAGGCATAGTTGCCTCTTTGATATCAATTTGTTATAGTACTTAGCTGAACTTAACTTCCTGACAAAGCATGT